GGACAGTCGTGTGTATGTGGCTACTACTTTGGAAGTTGAAAGATTACAGACTCGTTACGCAACTTCAAATTATAATCCTACAGCAGCTCATCGAGGAAAATCTGCAGCTGAGATTTTGCTTCCCAGATCTTGCCATGGTTCCTTTCGATTTGGCTAGACTATAGTTTGACAGGAAATTGTGTCCTTCATTTTGTTAAAGCATTTTAATCCTTATAAGATTTATTTCAACGAAAGATGTTGTTTGCTTGTTTTTGTTGTTTGTTGATTTACCAGAAGATTGATTGTTACTGTAATAAATGTAAAACAAACATGCTCACCCTCTTATTTCAAAATGTTTTGTCATATGCAAATTTATCTGCGAGCCCCTTCAAGAGGGCCTCTTGGTTCCGCCACGGGATCTCAGTGACCTGCGATTTGAAGTTTTTTATTTCGTTTTCTGTCGAAAAGTTTCTGTTTTTCCTTATTTCCTCTCTCGTTATAGATCTTGAGGTTCTCATGCTTATCTGATTATATCCCGCATCTTTTGCTCACGAAGGGCACATCGTGGCTTGGCTGGTGTTGTGCAACCCGGCTAGAACGCGCCGCGCCTTTGACTTCCTTGGGATATCGCAGTGACATTAGCATGCTCCCTAAACGGCGTTCAACATAGTCCTTGTATTAAATATTCAGTGTTAAAACCATTGAATCTCTCTCCAGATAGGTTAATCTCGAACGACCTACAAGAAGGTATTCGAAGTCCCCATATTCTCACCTACCCCAAGGGGTACATGGTTTGAAATCAAAAGTGGGCTGTGACGGTGTGTTTGTACATTCGTGGTCAGCGAAACTGGTGATTCATTCGTAGGAATGCTGTCCTGTGGTCGTTCATTGTTATTGCTTTCGCATGTTTGCAACAATGCTCTATATTCTGGGGAAAATCGCCTTCTACCAGCCGATGTTTGACTCGATCAAGTAATCTCCCAGCTCAAGCAACCGTATACTTATGACGAACTTTATGTATTATGGTATAGCGGTTTGTAATTTCTTTCATTACCATGGTTGAGCTTTAGAGTTTTAAGCTTATCTTCCTTACTTTGTGTGGCTATCGTACTCTGGGTTAAGAACTGTCTTGTGATTGATATTTGTTTTCTCTCGAATGTCCCAGAACAATCCAATTTCGTCATTGGTGCTGTCAAAGAGAACAACGCAGTAAAGTACATGGTGGCTTTACAGCCGACTCTTCACTCGTATTGGATCCCCTCTTACCTTACTCTTACTATCTCGAAAAGTAATCCATTACACGATTCTTCAGTCTTAGCTTTCAACGTACTCACTTGCTAATTAAAGCCACCTTTACATCTTTTGAGACCGCCATGCTAAATATGGGTAACTTGGATTGGGATGGGTCGATTATCATAAATTTTATCAGATACACCACTAAAAGTTTGAGATTGGTAACTGTGACGGAGATAATCTCGGCATGGAGAATACTCCATGAACACATAAATTCAGGCGTAAGAGTACGGTAGTTGCTTTTCGTACGCAATTGCACGATTATGGAAGATGTATTCGTTTGACGTTCCAAAGAACTTTAGCCAGACGTTGAACTGATGGATAAGCTTGAAGCTGTTGCAATTCAGAGGCTTGCTGGAGGGATTTAATAAATCTTCTTTGTTTTTCTGACTTTCCTACTGTTGCTGAGGGCTTGATAGTTGTAATGGTTCCTAGGGAATTGTACCATAAAACTTTGCAATGTCGAATCTCACTAGAAATAGTGGAGCTCCTAGCTGCCTATTTCAATTTTGATTACAAGAGATGTTCCTGTTTTTACTCTGTGTTCACGTCGAGAAAAAATCTTTTAATAAGTGTGGTAGTAGGTCTCGGCTTCGAAAGTCTGAATGTTGTTTCTTTGCTACCAAGGTGAAGAAAGTTTGAATGCTATCGCATTGTTCTCACAACTGCTCAGCCGCAGCTTTCATTGCAAAGTAATATGTTTAAATGTTTGCATAAATACTAGCATGTAGTGGGCCCTTTGAAGCTCCTGTGATATTGCTATTTTCTAAAAAGGTTTATTAATTTTTTGTGACGTCCTTCTGCAAAATGTTGATTGAAGAGTTTAGTACAGGTGCTTGCAATGAAACTTTTTTTTTACAAAATTCTGTGGTTAACAATTAGTGCATTTTGCGTTGTGTCTGTAGCCGGCTGTCTATAAATGTAGATGACAGCCGAAAATTTGTCGAATTGTGGGAACAGTAATCTTTCTCTTCATTCTTATCATTGGATGTCTTGCTTCCTTTCATACATCTACAAAGGCAGAAACGAATTTTGAATGTGTTTCTTATGCGCTTAATTCTGAAGCAAATCCTAGTTGCTAATCGCACTCACTAATCGTATAATCCTTGTTCAGTTTAGTTATGAAAAGGGGATCGAATAGAGGTCCAAAGGATTCCCCTGGCTTCCGATCCAATAACAGAGGTCGTGGGTGAGTAATGTTAGTAAATATTTAATAATATTCTACTAAACGTCATTTTTAAAGTCCGCTGATACTATTTTCATGATCCATCTTAGGGTGAGGTTTCATTTGTCTTCGAGAATATAGGGGAGAAGGCTGGTTTCAAATTACATAAAGGGTACCACCATATGGTGACCACCTTTACTTTTCCTTATGTAATTTTTTAAAGGTTATTTAGTTTTTTACTAGTAATTTTGTTTGCTGAAGGAGGCCATATGAATCGAGACGGACGAACAATTCGCAAAGATATCCCAACGATGTTGATAGGTCGATGTACTTCCTTCCACGGCACCTACAGGAAGCGAACCCTTGGTAAGATTTCTAAAAACCATATCGCTTACATATTCAGCATCGGTTTTATTTTAGGGAGACGGTAGGGCCAGACAGTGACGCCGATCGAGATGTTGCGTGCAGCGATAGATCTCCTCAGGCCTATGAAGACAGACCTAGCGATTACAGGAATTGTGACAGGTCTAATGATTACAGGAATACAGACAGGTCTACTGGTTACAGGAATACTATGTGCGTTTTACACTCACGTTGTCCATAAGTTATTATAGCAGTAACATGAAGCCAAAAATCGATTGTTTCCTATTTTTGCATTTGAAAGTAGCTTGGAGGGATTGTAACTAATACACTACTACTCGTTAATTATTAGTTTTATTCAACAAGATCGTTTTTGATAGGCCTGTTTTCTAGGTATCGCCGTAATTCGCGTGAAGAAGACGAATATGTTATGAATGAGTCCTTCAGACGTGACGATTATCGCGACTCTGACCGTCGTTCTGGTAGACGGTACCACCATGAACGGGGCGACAGTTATGACACGTGCGATAACTGTCGATTTGGAGCATGGCCAAGATGTTCCTGTGCTAGAAATAGCCCGAACGCCAGAGGCAACCGCGACCATCGTGGACGTGAATCGGCAGCCCAGTGGTACGAGAAATCCACGAAATGCGATTGTGGGCGACCATACAACATGGAGAGGTACGAGCTAATCTTGACTGATGTTGATTGCATATTACATTACCGTAATGATTTAGTGAAGATGACTGCTGTTCTTATCGAAGTCGTGATTGCTCATCGCCAAGGAGACTTACACGTGAAGAATGGCGACGATTGGAAAGAGAGTAAGTTTCCCTATTGGATTTGTTTTAATTCCAAAGTTTCTTGACACCTGCGCTCAAAAGGTGATTTGTCAGAATCGCATTTGTTATTTTATTGAAGACATTAATGTTTGATGCGGCAATCTATCACACAGGGTTGGTTATGCCCCATTTGATTTCACAGGCAACAGTTTGCTCCTTGCTCTTCTGTGTCGTTTCTTTTTCTTCCACTTCTACGTTGCTCTACCTTTTACCACACACCGATCTTTTTGTTTTTCGCCAGCTGTCAAGTTTACACTTTATCTATGAGTGCTTTATGACTTTTAAGGAGCCGCAGGTCAGGAACCTGGTTTACTTTTGCTCTCGTTTGCTTACTGCTGACAAGCGTAACATTTAAAGTATTCCTTCTCCCCAGTAAGCACAAGAACCGATCGCTCTGAAATCCAAGGGTGACTGGCCACAGCAGTCAAACTAATGGTAAGAAGGAACCAGATATTAGCTGTTTTGGTATTCAAGAATGACAAGCCAAGGCAGGAGGACGAGAAGGCAAACGATGCTCAATGACTTCAGAAGATACGGTAGAGGAAAGACTGTTTACGAACGAAGGCAAAAAACAAGAACTGTGACACACGATCGATTTCGAGGTCCATCAAGTGACTCATCCCTTCCCATTTTGCCGCGGTCCCTCTCGCAATGATCGGCTCGAAGAAATAAAATGCAATATAAGGCAAGAAACCGAATAGTTTTGGCTTCAGCGGTATGGGCGCATGTCTTTTTGAATTCAATTTTGATTATGATGACGACCGATTTCTGAACGCCGTCGAGAACATGGGTTTTCTAGCGAATTGGTCAGCGCTGTCTCCATATATGGACTAAATGAATATATTCCCTATGGAATCTGAAAAATCCTCACCTAGTTCTTTCTCGCTGAAAACTCAACCAAAAAGGACAAACTGGGGCTTACTGATAGCTTAACTCGTGCGTATCGGCATGCCATCGGTTCGCCGACGTGTTCATTTCGCAACCATCCTCGAAGCTGCGTCACTCTGACTGCTCTTTGTCCGTCTGTACTCTAACCCTTCATGGCGAAAAGCCAGATCGTATCGAGGAGATGTCTCGTGAGACAGTTTTGTTTGGTCTCTGATTGACTTGTTGCCGTTCTCAGTTTCCTTCTTCTTTCATACCAATCATCCTTTCTGTGGTCATTCACCCCGTCTTCATTAGATGGGGGTTTAACGCTTGCGAAGATCACTGGGGTTTAGCATATTACCATTCATTTCTCCTTTGCTGAACGTCTTTCTATTTTCAGCTACTACTCTTTTTCCTGGTTAGTAAGAGTGAACGGTAGCCCAATTGACAAGATTGGCTTTTTCTCTAAGAATTGGATGGCAAAGTCATGGCGACAATTGAGTTGCAAATTAGAACTAGAGAAGCACTTTTTCCGTTGCCGCTCAACCTAGGGCTCATTAACCAACCTTGAGAGAGATGGAGCCCTGGTCTGCATAGGGATTAGTAGTTGTCACCGTTTGTAACACTTGCCACGGCACCAGCTATGTACAACACACCTCGCGATGCGATAATCTGAAAAGGATGGCAAATTGTCGGCATAACTCAGTCTCGGATGGGACTCGAACCTTACTTGTGCTTTCTGGGGTTAGTGCTTTTTATCACTTGCACATGGAGACTATGGTTGCCCTCGTCTTCTCAACGGCTTTTTAGGCATAGCTCATCAGTCTCGTATAATATGATGAGCCGGCCGGATTGGTGTTGAGCCGCGAAGTCCTGATGAGCTGCTGGTGAAATACCGCTAAGAAGGGGTGGGGCACGCAGGATCTCTGTAGGTAAGGAATGACGGGTATAATACGGGAAAGTAGAAGAAGTGGGACGGTCCTGGGAGTTTTAACCATATTCCGCCTTTTATGGGAGTATTGCATCGTGTACTGTCCTAAAAAACACGGTAGCCACAAAATGTGAACACCACACAGCAGGCATTAAAGGCAAATATGATTAGACTGTAGGAAGCGCAATGTGGTAACCCAAGACCTTACAGGCTTCTTGTTGGAGCGATTCTGCCTGATGCTAATCAAGAACCACCCTCTCCGTGGGGGCCTCTGGCAACCCAGATTGTCCTTTTTGCAACTCCTCATGTTGTATTTTCATAATTCAGTTGGAGAATTCATAATTTGGTTCGCTTTGCTCCCATTGAGATGACCTTTACGATTGTATGGAAACCGGCTACTTTTCATAGTTAACTCTTCTGAATGAGCTCCGAGTTTTTCTTGGTCCCAATATTTTCTTCGTGATTTATTGTATTGTTCCACACCTTTTCTATTATCTAATTTCTTAATTTTTTCAGAGAATACGAACGTGAACGACATATGAGTGACTACCCACCTCGTTCTGGCCGTTACGATAGTCGCCGTCCTCCTTTCGAACATCGTTCGGGTCGTGACGACTATAACTACGATAATCGTGAAAATAATCGTCGTCCAAGGTTTGGGCAACGTATAAAGAGTGAATGGAGAGCAGAAGACGACTGTCCCCCTTGCGATTCGTACTCTTCTTCTGACAGACGGTACATACCTGATGCAAGAAACAGAACTGAATACACAAGCAATTTCAATGGTGGTCGCGAAAATCCACGCTATGGCCAGAATAAACGACGAAACGGAAATCGGGACAATAGGTGATTTTTTACAACCATTTCTTTTGTTGCTTCTATAACATGGTAATTCTTTCAGGAAGTTTGAAAGGGGAGGAAATCGTGGTTTTGGATCGCCGAGATCTGGGTCAGGTTCAGTTAGAAGTGGTGAATTTAATCAATGGTCACAAGAAGGAGCTGAGCGAGGTGGTTGGATAGTGTTCCTTTCATGCTTAATTCAGAAAAGTTATGAGATTAGGTTTGGAAGAAGAATGCCTGTCTGAAGGGTTCTTCGGAACTGATGATAAGGTTTCTTCCGGCTCGGGGAACATGTCTGTTACGGCATGATAAGCATTTTTGACTTTTTAGCAGTCAGAAGATTAATTTGCGACTCTCTCATTGATCCTTGGTCGAGTTTCCTATCTTTCGAGTCGAATAGTTGGACATTTACGTTTATTATTAAGAATAATAGGTAAAATCACGCAGAGATGGTCTATATCCTACAATTACATCATGCATTTGTGACTAGGAATCATAATAAGCATACATAAGTCGTTGTTCCGCTGCACAGAGGCGAATTTGTCGCAGTAAAATCAAACTTGAAAGAATTCCACCTTTTGATGGCCCGAAAGTGATTTGATCCGAAAATCCGGTGAGATCTGCCCGGTAGCAGTGTAATCTGACCATGTTCCACCTGAAATTTAGATTTCACATGAAATTTAAAAAGGAAGGACAGTGACAAGCCCACCACTGGTAATCGGTTTCTAACCTTTGTACCAGTAACTTTGACTTTCGAAACTCATGCGCTGCTTTAGACCTCAGGTATAGGGGAAGGAGCTTTCATAGTAATTCCGTAAAGCAGGGTTCAATTTACAAACAGCTTATCCTAATCGACTTCGTCCCATGTTCACTAAAAATCTGTTTTGTATTAAAATCGTACAGCGAGTCCTTGTTCAACAAGTATTTTGCCCGGTTGCTGGTACTTCTCCCGAAAAATTGTGTCACCTTGGCCACACACGATCAGGTGCAGTCACGCGCTATGAAGGAAAATGTTCGAATACTCGATGGAAGGATATCGTAGCTGCTGCGGAGCCACTGCCACTCGTTGTAGGAATCCGGAGAAAAGTACTGCCACCCCTTTATCCAATACTGTCCTAGATCAATACATGTCTTATAGATTATCGATTGAGGGGGGGGGGGTTGCAAAATCTTCTCAAATGTAAACTGCTGGTGTTTACTAATTCACAATTCGCAATGATTCATCCGTTTGATTTCCATGTTTGGTCTATTACTCGTCATTTTGCGGGTTTTCCATATCGCCTACTGTGGCGAATTAGCAGCAGTTGACAAAAAAATATAGTCTCTTTTTTTCAGAACACAACATATCAAACGAAATGGAAAAGCTGAACATCAGAGACGCATCGCCTTCACGCGAGAAGAAGGTCAATATTGGTTTCCGACATGAAAATGAACGAAGAGAAGGAAAAGTTTGTACGGTCCAGAAAGCCCAGGCCCGTAACGAAGGACCATCTGCCGTAGCCGACGATTCGAAAAATTCGGAGACCGAAAGCGAAGGAGGTGAGTGGTTAAGCTACTTCTATCAAACGTATCGATCACCTTAAAACTTTCTTTTCATGAATTTTCTACGCTCTCCCGAGTTTTTGTTGACGACTGCTGCTTCGCTAACGGTTCCTGTAATCTCTCAATCTTGTGCTAACCTTTTTACCCATTTACGAAGTTTTTTTTTTCGTGGGATACTTCTCCGTTCTGAGTCTCCTGAACTGAACGTTCCTCAACTTAGAGATAGGATCTCAACTACGCAATGGTGAAGCTGAAAAACGCGATGGTTCGGACGCGTTATTTTGAGCAAATGGCACTGTCACAGACACACAGTGAGCTTTGCTGAAATAGGAAAAGATGAGGAGTTTTCGGAACGAAGGCAGTTTTTAAAAGGTGGTGGTGGTGTAGTGGCGGGTGGTCACGGGTTTGAATTCCGAATCCATATCCGCCGGGCCAACCAAGCTTTTCATCGTTCCGAGGTCGGTTAATTGGTACCGGACTCGTCTGGGAAGATAAAAGCAATGACTCTTACATCGGCTGGCCATCGCAAGTCATTGTATGGGACAATACGCATTTATTACGTCAATAGGATCCTGAATGGAGGTCGAATGCGGGGGCGCATCCCCCAGACAGGATCGATTAACGCCCCAAGATTTATCCCTTTTTTTTGGGAGGTTACGTAACTTTGCCGCCCGATTGATTGGCATCCAAAGATTTTGTTTTTTACCTTATTATCATAACGTTCACCATAATTGGAAGTGATTTGTGGTTTGTTAATTCTTGGCGAATCTTTTGTTGCTAAATGTTTGATTTTTTTAAGTAGCGTTTTTAACTCTGGACTCTGGGTAATCTTGTGAATAAATAAAAACGAAAAACTTTTTCAGAGAAGCCGCGGTTCAGTGCGGAATCTGGTTGTGACTCTTCGCCTAGTAAAGCTAGTGTGGTCGAACCGCCAGAGGTTGGCGTGATCCTTGCTCCCAAAAAGGAGCCAGCATCGAGAGCGAACAAAGAGCGGGTTGGTTTGTGAAAGTGAAATGTTCTGTAGAGTGGTATCCTTGTATTGAGAGAGATCAAAGAAGTATCTAGTAAGATCGCATTTCAGAATTGTCGATAGTCTTAAAAGGTAGAAAAAAGTGAAGTATCAAGGTTTTAGAGTGGTACCACACTTGGCATTATTTCACCTCGCTTGTGCTCTGAAGCGCCAAGTTATGGTACGACGGCGAATGAAATCAAAAAGCTAGTCAGAAACCAGTCAGAAACAGTGTGGGAGAAATGGTTCGGTGCCAGGAGGCTCGCTGTCACACTTGTTTTCTGATAATCGATTCCCGCATCGGCTTGGGCCGACCAAGCCTTCGGATCCCAAGGGATTGGTTAAAATGGTGCCAGACTTGTCTGGAAGAATAGAAGCACTGACTTGTGCATTGGTTGGCGACCGTGAGCCACTGCGTAGGCCACTTACGGGTTCAATATGCCACTATAATTTTAATAGAATTCCAGAAAGGATAGTTTCACATCGAAATATCTTTAAAACTAGTTCCGAAAACATTCATGGGCATGGGATGACTAACATTGTCCAGCTGTGCATAATTTATATTTCGTACTAATGGACAGACATATTAGGTTGGAAGGAAAATCCTGCAACAAAAAATTTGAAGCGTCAGCAGTTTGTATCAACAGTGAGAACACGGTAGCAAGAGTGACAAACTTTTAGGACATTCCTCAGGTCATCAACACATGAGTAAATAAAGGCACGTGTGTGGGTTCTAGCAGCTTTACGGTCAATGAATGGACAACACCCGATTCGTACCATCACCTTCTACGAAGCGCGCCAGGGCGCGGGTGTAGCGGCTCAAATTATCAGCAACCTAATCAATGCTGGCACTGCTCACCAATTAACGGTCAACAATCGGTTGGATCGCTTCACTGGAGGAGATTCTAGCCTTCGAAAACACGCAAGCATCGTCCTTTGATTCGATGGAGGTTGGAGGGATCCATCCACTATGAGTTGTGCAGACTAGATGGACACAGCTATCGCTTGCCCCTATGATCCCTTTTATTTGGCCACCGGGGTTAGAGAAGGACGATCAAAATCGTAAATCAGGTCCTTACAGAGGGACAACGCACTTCGAAATTTCGCTTTAAACACGCGTCAGAAGTTCTACGATTTCAATTCGTTCCAGGTTGTTCATCACTCGTACTCCCTAAGTGTTGCCCCTTTTACCTACCATGCGTCGCCTTCTTGAGCACACCGTTGTGGAAAAAAATCGTAACTAAATGTGATCTGAAAACGGCAGTCAATTACTTCTTTGAGTCACAGCTTCCTCACTCCTGGATAAAAGGCAACAGTGATTTACTCGAAGGATAATAGAAGGTTGTTGACCTCTTTGGTAAATATATTTCCAAAAATTGATTGGCCTGGAAAATCTCAGAAACGATTTGAAAAAGACCTTCATCTTGTTGCAGCTTTTCTACCAACTTAATAGTATCGAGAAGTCGGGTGCAGATTAGTGGAAAGTCTGACCGGTCTTGATGGGACTCGATCTGATTGGCCGCTGGATTGTAAAGTAGTAGTAACGCCAAGCATTCCTGTTTTCATCCAGTATTCAAATTTCACTCGTGATTTCTCATACAAAGGCATTACACTGGTCCTGAAACGTATTGGAGCTTGTAATGTCTGAAAAACAACTGCTAAAAATGAACAATTGAAAATGAGGTACCAGCATAGACCGAGATATTCACAAGTCGAGAGAGAGACATTCTTTTGCTTATCCAGTGACCTCTTTATACGCCAGCACTTTTGGTTTCTCTGATCGAAACAGGATTCAATATTGCTTTTGGTCTACGGATCATCAGTATGGTAGCGACCCATTTTCCCCGATCTATTCTACGCTTCCAGTATTGTCATTGTGGAGAAACTAATTATTCTTCACCCCAGGACCTCTTAACTAGTGATACGGCGTTTTGAAATGGTTGTTATTTCAGGTGAGACTGCTGACTAATTTCTGGGAAGTGAATGTTCAAAGCAAAATAGTCTACCGCTATGATCTGGCGGTGTATCTAGGAACTCCTACAAATGAGAAAGCTGTTGACTGCCTACGTGGTGAACGAGATGAGTGAGTCCCTTTTTTCCTGTGCTCGATTCAAATACTATAGATTGACAATTCATCTACTCACTGCTATGTATTCCTCGGTTGTTGCGGACAACTTAATATGACTACTTCGTTGCAGTTCTGCTGTGGTGGCGAGACGAAAACTATGCCTGCAAGCTCTTCATCATGCCATGCAGTTGTACGGTATAATTAGTAAAGGAGAAGCTGTCATCCATGATGGCGCCTCCATGATGTTCTCATCAGAAGATTTGGCCCACGCCTTGAAAGAGGTTAGCCCTATGTTCAGTTACAAATTATCCTTTGGAAGAGTCACTGAAAGCAAGTCCTCATGATATCTTTTAGCATAATGGAGTCCTAAAGCTCGACATACCGAAAGAATTGCGAGCATTAATCCGTCGTGTAGATGTTTCTACCTTGACCATTGAAATAACACCTTGTCGTGAAGCCGCTGCTTCGTTTGACATTGCGGATTTATCGGCACAAGTGAGTGATTTTTCCATAAAGTTATAATTGGCGATTTTTGTCATGTTGCTTATTATTCGTTTTCAAGAAAGCATAGGGTTTCCGAATGTTTGGAGCTAGGAAAATGACTTTAGAAACTGTTTCACAGTTTACAGCGTACTAGTAATTTTTCGTACGCCTTTGAGATTTTATCGAACTTTTAATTAGGTGCTTTTTGATACCTTTATGTATTCAAAATACACCTTTTTCTTGCCTTCCGTAGTCCTTACTTTCACATACTCCACTCTCATAGCTGGTCGACATCGCTCGAAAAAGCACGAACCTCTTAGACCCGCCTGGAGGAGGTGGCTGTTTTGATTGTTCAGTGGTTGCAGGGTATTTCCTTTTCCAGGGTTCACCTAGTCTTATATCTTCCTACTCATAAAGTAAAGTAAATAAGTGACATAACTTGATAAAGTGCATCAAAGGGGATTTCATTCTATGTTAGAAAAACGTCCTGTTTTACGGTATTATGAAGAATTTCAGAAGAATCGCAATTGGGCTATTCTCGATCGGTCATGGAAACAGTTTTACGAATTGCTTACCAGTCAGGATGCGACAATAGGGTATAATCCACTCTTGGTTTTTTCGTGTTTTTCTGAATTAGATTTCTTTTCTTGGTTCACAATAAGGTTTACTGGGCTTCACTGTTTCATGTCTCCATCTCTCGGCCTTCTTTGTGACATTAGCTGTTCAATTTAGGCTTCGCTGACAAAAAATTAACAGTCGTGAAATTATTTTATGCTCCAAACTCCTATTTTTGAAGTGAATCGAAGTCAATTTAATTATTTAAAGTCATACGCTTCGAATGTTTATTGAGTTTTTATCAAGGAACTAATCATTATGTTGATGACATTCCCTTATTTTTCGGAAATCCGTGTAAGATGACCAATGCCACTTTTCCAGAGGCCAATTTACTCAATTCGGTGCTGGCTGTCTGTATAGTCCAGATCCTTGTGAAAATGTTGGTTACGGTTTCCAAAGGCTTCATGGTGCACGGAAAGGTATCAAGTAGGTATTTAGGCGTTCCTTTTGCAGTATTTTTGTTTTTTCAAAACTTCATTGTCGATCAACGTTGTTTCGGTCTCACAATAATTTTTGGACCTAACTTAGGGCGCGTTCAAGGGGGTGCTGGTGCTTCAAACAATAGGGGCTCTCTATTGGTAAGCTCTTAGTGCCCTGACTAATTTCGAATAGAACATTTTGCTCTGTTTTGTCTTGAGATTTATGGCAGAATAAAGTTTAAGACTGCCTTTTTCAGATTCATCGAAGGAAGACGAGATCAACCGAATGGAGTTGTTGCTGCAATGATACTCGACCGTTGGTTTTTTTTTTGATCAATAACGGGTTAAATAAGATCACTCCGTTGTGTGGTTTTTTGTGATATCTTTTTGGTACTGTTATTTCTGATTTTTAGATCGTGTTGGGCTCTTCTACAGAAGTCAAAGCCTGATGACTAGTGTTCGCGAGATAGATGATCTCCAAAATGTGGCTAGTTTCGATTTTAGCTTTACATACTTCACAAACAAGGATCGTAAACGTATGAATCGTAAATGGGTTGAAGTCAATGAGTACGTCAAAGGTTAGTATTATTCGAAATATTTAAGTTTTATTATGAAGTTTTAGTTTTCATAAACGTTTTGATTGCACCACACTTTTGTTTGGCCTAAATTTGTACTTCGGATCGTTTGGAAGCTCAAAAGACTGGTTGTTCACAGTAAACTGAAGTTCTGGGTTGCCGTCCAGCTTCGTCAACTCGCACACCACTCAGCACTTCAGAAGTGCCTAATAAAGTCTCAAATCTGCTTTTCTTGAAAATATGCGATCAACAGGATAGGCATGTAGTTTTTTGGTGCTGATTGGACCCATTTGTGGCATGCGCCCCGCATTCGATTCATATTCAGAATCCTATGACTGGGTTGGGGTAGCAAGCCGAAAGTAGATAAAAGGGTAATGTATTTGGGCGTTGATCAATCCTGTCTGAGGGATGCGCCCCTGCATTCACTTCCATTCGGAATCATAGTGGAGTATTGAGTGCGTATGTGACCACTACAATGACTTGCCACCAGCCTTTGTACGAGTCAGTGACTTTATCATTCAGGCAGGTCTGGTACCATTTAATCGAACCTGGGAGAGATGAAGGGCCTAGATGGCTTGGGCGAGTATCGATCCGGGCTTCAAAGCCTAGTCCGTGCGTGTCTGATAGTGCACCACTTGCTAATGCACTGCCCTTAGTGTGATAATTCAGGCGTGCGCATGATCTACACTGGCACAGCATCAAATCCGGTCAGCTTTGTGGCAGCCGGAATCACCGATGAGCCCATCAAAAAACTTAAAAATATCTTACCGAATAAGTAAGTCTTCATAGCAATCTGTGAGAGTCTTTTTTCATAATGTTTTACTTAAGCGCCAAAACTGAAGTCAGTGTACTGGCAAAGTTTGCGGACACCAAAGTGGCTATCAATCCAAATTGGCCTGCAGTCAAATGGCGTGTTCGAGGTAGAGAAGAATATTTTCCAATGGAGTTGCTTCAAGTGGAACCTAATCAGAGAGTGCCGCTGGAAAAACAGGCACATGCAAAGTCGGTGGGTTGAAGTATCCGTAAATTTTTTTTACATCTATACAATTTTTTTAAGCATAGTTTTTTCGTTGGTAACGTCCAAATGATCCTTTGAAAATGGAGTGGAAATTGAGATTCTGCCTTAAACTAGCTAGGTCGTGCTCAGTATGCAGGAGCCCGTAATTGGGAGTAGTGAGTAGTACCAATTTCTACAGCAATCTGTACCCATCAAGAAATGCTCTTCATTTTTTATGTGATCTTTCCGATGATTAGCTCTAGTTGTGAGACCTGTAGCCCTTCTCGAAAGGGATTTCTGGGAGGATATCCCATGGAAATAGCTTGAAATCGTAGATACATTTTTTTTTCGAAGCGACATAGCGAATATTCAGGCCAAGAAAGCGGACAAGCCAGATGTTCGATTGCAAAGCATCTACAACTTACTTGAAGCGCTCAATCTTCATGATAATGCATCTCGAAATAAATTCTTAAGAGCGTGAGCTGATTAGTTGTCAGGTTCTCTAATTAATAATTTCAATGCTATTTTCATGTACAGATTCGGTGTTTCTATAAGTTACTTTCCGAAAAGTGTCGAGGGTTTTCGACGCCAAGCACCTCAGATTACATACGGTGGCAACCATCCATGTGCAGTGGACAAGGCAAAAGTTTGTTTCATAGTCAATTTTTCTTTTTCATTTTTTTTCTACGACTTTTTCCGTCTGTATATAAATCGTATGTTTTTTCACGACACTGTGCAGCCATCTCTAAGTGGTCCACCCTCCCAGCTGCTTTCAAAGGCTCTCAAACTCTATCGGTTCTCTTTCAGCTATTCTCGTAACATTTCATCCCTTCTGCAGAGTTTTTGTCACTTCTGATCCCTAACACTGCTCTTTTTATTAAGCTTGCCTGGGTAGTTCGAAAGCTGCACGATTATGAATGGCTTAAGAAAAAGAGCCAATCATCCTTTTCAGCCTTGTTGGAATGAGCCGTGCATACAATCTTTTTTAAAATTGCTGTGCAGAGAATACGTTCTAATTTGTACCATCAGTTTGTACAATCAGCATGCTGGAAATAGATTGATTAAGGAGTAAAGTGTAAAATGCTCATATTCCGGAGCAACATTGCACTGTGCCTTTGTAGAAGTGGCTTAGATTGAACTGGAGGTGTACAGGCGCTCACAATGTACAGGCGATTGCTAACAGTTTTTGCTTTAGTATAATTGGCGAGAAAGCTGGGATACGAAGTATGTCAGAGGTGGCAAGGTTGACCGTATCATTGTTGTTCACAATGATCGAAATATGCAAAAGTAAGTTTCATCGAATTCAGTTTTGAAGAAAAGTATCCTGATTTGTCGATATAAGGAGGAGTATCGAAGCCCTATTTTAACTGGTTATTTTCCAGAAACGTTGAAGATCCGCTACAAAGGCTATTCAAGAACAGGGGTGTTCAGTGTGGCGATATGACATTCGTCCCTTTGGATTATAGAAAAGACTTGGAAATGGAGAAACAACTTGAAGAGGTGAGCTGTTCAGTGAAGTCCAAAATTACGTGATGGTTCATGTAAGAGTGATGGTCATAGACCATTTGGCGTTAATTATCCCATTTTTGAGATGCGCCACGGAATTCGACCTCCACTAAAGTCTGCTTTCATAGTCCGCGATCTGGCCCGCGAGCGAGCGAACGAACGAGCGCGCCGGCCGGGGGACCACTCGGCCGGCGGTATCGACCAAGATTCAGTTGTAAAGAAGAGGCAAGCACCGCCCCCGGCCGTCGCGCTCGCGAGCCGGATCGCGGACTATGAAAGCAGCGGAAGCCGTAGTGGCACTTGAGCTTATGTGTCTATACAATGGTTGTGGTGAACAGTAGGCATGAAGACGGTGCTTTTATCAGCCGGAATGACTGTGCCACCAATTAACCGACACCGGGTATAAAGGGTTCTGTTAGCTTCGGCACGTATGGATGAGAGTTTTGATCCCATGATCGTACGTGTGTTCTAGCCCCACTTGCCATTACACCACATCCGCCCTTCGTTTCATAGGATTACAACATTAGTCAATTTGTTGAAATTTTGTGTTAACAAGCATTCTGCGATTCTCATTAACATTCCGAAGCCTGTAATTTGGAAATTATTTGATTGACTGGTTTCTGTTCAAAGAGCTATTTATAGGTATTCAAAAAGGCTAAGAATTCTGATGGATCATCGCTGATAATCTTCATCGACAGGGCAGAGAGCAAATCTCACGGTACTCATGTAGTGGTGGGAAAGTGTTTACTTTCGATGACATCTGGTAACTTTTTCAGAGTTTTTGAAGCTAATGGAGCGTAAATATTTGATTCCAACACAACAGCTGACAACGGAACTTGCCTATAAGCTTTCAAGGTGAGTGCAAGTCGTTTTTTAGTCTTGATAATTTATGACATTTTCGAAAACATGTTCTACATAAATTGATTTATAGAGATTACACAGAAAAGTTCAAGCTTTCAAGGCCGATCCTCAGTTTGGAGTGATAATTCATAGGCCATAAAATAAATGCAGTGAGGTCCCGTAGAAATTAATGAATACCATGGAACACAGGCCATGTTTGATCGTGGAAGATCATGGGTATTGAATAAATCAAAGACAGAAATGGGGCGTTTGATCACGACGAAAAATGGAAGATGAGATGGAAAATAGTGCGATGATGGCGAAGAAACTGCGTGAATCGGTGTTTCCAAGTGAAAAAGGCTTTGAAAAATTGATAAAAAGGGGGCTGGACGAGAATGAGACCAGAAGAATGTAGAAGTGTGGAGCGTTTGGACGAGCTAGACAGCGTGTGTCAGTGCGTACGTGTGGGTCCTGCTGCGGATCGCTGTTGAGCAAAAATTCACTCACGCATAAGCATAAGTTAATAAGAACCGTAGTAACAACAAAAATAGCCAACCTTTTCAGCCTCTCGAGGTAAAAAATTAGAAGAATGATCGTTGCAGTAAAAAGAATAACATATAAAAAAGATTGGGAGAAGAACATCGCTCCATTACTCGGCCATCAGCTGATTGAGTGTGGGTCCTAGATCGAATATTGCAATCTGTATGGCGGCACTCGGAACTTGTCTGACGTGACATCGATCGAGGGGCGGGAAGTCTGGGTGATCCAGTAGCGGAGCTCCCACTGTGCCCTAGCTGTTGAAATTTGGGACTCGACAGCGTCCTTCCTGTTACCCTTGGGGGGTATTCTTAGGGAAGAAGTCAGAAACCATTTTTATTGGAAACTGTGCCTTTAAGATGTTCAGGCAAAGAATCCTAGAAATCGAAGAATATCTTGTTCGATTATCTGAGTTTGAGCTCAAAAATGTTAAGGCAACCACAATCGTGTGCGAATTTCGTTCTGAAAACGAATTTGAAGCTTGGTGGAATCAATTACGAAGTGATACCGGAGTCGTTTGCGTATGTTCTGAGTAACGCTCATTTTCTTTCGACGATGTTCACTTTCATAAAGAAACTGCTTTAATTAATTCAGCGCGAATGTGTGGATTTCTCGAGGTAAAACTCTCATTGTTGGCTACGATGTTGCCCATCCAGGAAGGCCGACTCGGGATGAAACAATGAACAAAATGCCACCTATGAAGCCAAGTGTTGTTGGAGTGAGTTTATTTATTTATTCGATAAATTTATCTTTAGGTTCCATACAAACGAATAAGTTAGTAATTAAAAATTGAGCAATTAGTGTGTGGTATTCTATTCGCCGAGCTGCCATTACTGGCTAGTTGTCTTGTCTTGTACTTGTAATGTTTTACAGTTTTCGTTCAATGGCGCAGTTCATCATGAGATGTTCATTGGCGATTATCATTTTCAGATTCCCCGACGTGAAAAAGTAAGTTTTCAATAAAATGTATTATGATACTATTATAATATTTTGATTAACACATATATGTTCCATAGGTAGAACATTCCGTCTTGAACGCTCGCTTTAAATGGATGCTCGAGTTATTTATGAAAAATCGCGGAGTATGGCCTGAGCATGTTATCATTACGCGAGACGGAGTGTCAGAGGGACAGTATAGAATGGTATGCAGCCAAGCGAATTTTTTAATTCAAATATGCAGTAATGGTGGATTTGTTCAGGTCGTCGATGAAGAGTTGTTTGCGATCAAAGAAGCTTGTGAGGAATTTGGTAATATGCATGGACGAGATTCATGGATGCCACGATTCACCGTAATAGTGGCTACAAAACGTCATAATGCTCGATTTTTTGTGGAAAAAAGGGGTAAGCAGAAATTTTCAGCCAGTTTTGTTGCCGACAAAACTTTTTATCACGTTATTTTAAGGCAGATTTCAAAAAATCTGGAGCTCTCTTAAACGATTTTTAATTTGAGGCATAGACAATCCAATGCCAGCGACGGTGGTGGATACGGATGTGGTACGAAATGATATTACCGAATTTTATATACAAAGTCATCGTCCTGTTCAGGTATACCTTTAAATTCTTATGTTCTCCTTTAAAGATCGTCCTACGGTTGGATGCGATTGTCTGAGTGTAAGTTCGATCGGTGTCTAGCCGTACCTTGACACCAGTCCTTCCTAGCTAGCTGTCTCGCCGTGCTCTTCATCCTACTTGGTCGTTTTATTGTTAGACAGTTATCTCGGGGCTGGACAATGTCATTCGAGGCTAAAGAAATATCGATTGCTACTTGGTTTCTCCTTAAGTCGAGGTAGTATGTGATGCGCTCGCAACCGTCAGCGACTTTTAATTGGATGTCTCGCCACTTGACATATACAAGGTGGCTGTATTAGTTAGTTGTCTCACAAGGAGGCATACCAACACATCCGTCTAAGGAACGTGCTTTTAATGGTGTTTCTTCATACTTGTCGCTCGGCTTCTTCGACCTTTTATTTACTTATTTATTTATTTGGTAATACATCACAAGTATGTGACACGAGGAAGTGAAAAAAATATAGTTTAGACACACTACATAAATTCATACACAGCATCAGATCTCACTTCAGCAAGGGTGTCATTGGTGGCTCCTCCAACATCCAGAATGAGCGAGAACATGTAATACTCAGGAAATCACTCGCACCTCAATCCACAAGAGTTAGTTGTAGAAAAGATGGCAATTGCATTGTAGCGATCGGGTAGTGGCGAGGCGGTGTCCATAAGCTGAGTTGCTCAGTCAGAAGCTTCATTACCACATAACCTCCCGATGTCAAAGCTATGAGTTGTGAATGAAGCATAGTGTGCCGAATGAGATCATCGATGATTAATGCGCTTCTTCATATTGTCATTCGAACCACAGCGACAGGATTTTTTGTAAGGCTGGGTCCTTTCATATCGACTTTAAACTTGTATTTTTTTCCGAAGAAATTTCCTAGAATCATTCTAAGTAATTTAACACAGCGATGAAAAAAGAAACTGGAAAAGCTCGCATCCTCTGAGACCGGTATGTAATAAACAGATCTAGAAAATCTTCCTCGGCATGCTCTGAATATACCATACTTAGAAAGACGGATTGATTGAGAATGATTTTCCTCTAGAGGACCATCTTTTTCCCTTAGTAAAGGAGCTTGTAGTATGTGGCATATTTAGAAGTTCGTGTGCAATCTGAATTAGGGAAAATACATTAGTTTTTGAAGTTCTAGTCATTACTTAGTTTATATTTAGCGTTGTCATCAAGTTTGAGTAATTTTAGGGCACAGCAAAACCCACTGCATATCAAGTTCTTGTGGACGATAACGATATGAGCATGGATGGAGTGCAGTCGCTGATGTTAGCCTTGACATTTCACCATCAAGTAAGCTTTTTGGAATGTCAGACTGCACTTGTACTGTAATCTGACCTGTCACAGTTCATCTACTTGCGTGAAATTGAGTCTGAAGTTCCCCGATGAAATAAAGCTACTGAGTGTCCATTATTCAGCATATTTTAGATTTCTGGTGCTCCCGTGTCCCTTCCGGAACCTGTATATCAAGCTGACGAATGGGCAAAGCGGGGAAAGAACATCTTTAATGCATTTATGTGAGTTTCGAAAGCTTCACATGCACTTTAAAAATAAAGCTTGTACGGAAGCAAATTTGGGGAGAGGCCATTTGTCTTCCCCACTTTCCCTTCAGGGTCGATGGCAGATGAGTGAGATTCTTCGTTTGGGTAGAGGCCCATATCGTAATCGGTTAGGAACTGACCATGGTGCATGTTCGATCATTTGATCAATTCTTCGGTCCTGGTCATTTATTGGGACGGATTTATTGACGAAATGCTCCTGTAATCCCAATTGGAAGCTGATTGTGACGCATAAAGGGGGTGGTCATCAGTGGGTGCTTCCTTCGGTATGGCTCGGTATTTTTCATGGCCGTCGGCGCGTTTAAACTTTGGGCTCTTGCTCGCAGAGATCAAGATCCAACAGTGGCTGATTGTACTGAGCTCTTTACTATTTTATTATATTTTGAACTTGAAACTGCTGGGTTTTTCCTAAAGTCCTAGTGCTAGGTTTATTGAAATAGGGCTTGGACTGTCCCAGAGGAGCAGCACCACATTAGACTTCCTTTGGGACAGCCCGAGCGTCAGGGATAAATCAAGTAGGTACTTAAGAGACATTTGGAAATTCCAGCTTGAAGTTTGAACGTGGGGTACTGTGTATGGCACTTTGGGGAATGCGTTATATATAAAGACCATAATTCACTTGAATGCGTATTTAGTCCGTACATGACTGGCTTCGGTCGATCAATATACCCGCGTCCTTTTTCCCCTTTTTCGGTCTCATCCTCCAAAACGATTTTGGCATTAACTGAAGGAACAGTTCACGCTGACAATGGCTTATGAGATATTCCCCTTGGATAAAACTTGGGCCCCTCGTATACCACATATGGCGCTGTCAGGTCGAAAAACGCCCTAGATAGGGCGTTATAAAGGTTCAAAATCACACCTGTGTATCCTCGGACGAGTTACACCGGCACTGTAGAGGCTGCACCAATCACGAGGAAACCCATGTAGGAATTTCAAACAACTTGCCAGCGGACAGTGAAAGGTAGTTCTGTACAGTCCTGGTTTGATATAGCCAGTTCGTTGCGCAACTGCAACAACTGGAATCTCGTCCGGAAACCTCTTCCATATTACTTCTGTCGTGGTAATCTCGTCCAAGCTCTGCTTTCACTTTTTGAGAGCCTTTTTTCTCGACATCGGCGAATTTACTTGCTTTTTAACCTACCGATGAACTATTTCCAAAATATGCTTCCGCTTTCCAGCCAAAAAGGGGTACCTCAAAATTATCGTGAACTGTGCCTGTAATCAGTTCCTGGCTGTTTGTTGGCGTGGTTACCGTCCATAGGTGTGGTTGTTTCTTGCCTGTACCTCGCCACAACACTGAATATCTATGGCTATGGCAGTGTTATTACTTTTTATTTGACCATTGGAATTTGAGAAATTTAGAGATTGTTTAGGGGCAAGTTATCACATACGCATGCCCCGGGGATCGAATCCTAGTTTGGTGTACGCCGAGGGCAACTAATTCTTCCATCCCTACCGGACCGATTAACTGGTACATGATCGTCTGAGGAGGTAAAACCACTGACTTGCACATCGGCTGGCCACCGTAAGCCATTGTATCAGCCACATGACCATTCAAACGCGACTGCGACTCTTAATGGAAGTCGGGGGCGGGGCGCATCCTAAAATGGAATCGATTAACGTCGGAAGATTTTACCTTTGGTTTTTTTATTACCCGTGGGGATGATTCAGAGGTTCTGACTATTCTCATATTGATACTTTTTGAATTGAACAGTTGTTTTTAAAGACATACTGATTAATGGTGGCTGTTTAGGGAACGATATAATCCGCCTTTGAAGAAAGAACGTGGTGAATATGCGGCCCTTCCTATTGACTTCGAAGAGATGACGAATAAGCTGGCATTCTGGCATACTGAACTGGAAGAACGTCGAGTCAATGCGTAAAGAATCTCCTATAGTATAATATACGTTATTGATTGTTAGGAAATTTACGTTGCACTTACACTTGTTGACACAAATCGAATTTTGAAATTCCTTATTATTGACCATTATTAACACTTAGTCTTTTTTTGCACAATTTGTGTTATTTGTTGAAAAGTAGCTTTAAATGAACCTCGATTATTTTGAAAAAGGTTTACAAAAAAATGCTTTATTTACGTTGTTATGAGCATGTGGTCGAACCTCCCTTACCTTAAAGACATAGTTAACGATAAAAATAGTTTCTGAGATTCTCCCAACAGGATAAATTTGAGGCCCTTGCGTTTACCATATCTGGCACTATTAGGTCGGAAAACGGCCTAGTTAGGGAGTTACAAATGCTAATAAATTGGCCCGTGTGTATCCTTCGGACGAGTTTTACCAGCATTGTAGAGGCTGGACCGATCACAAGGAAACCCACGTAGGAAGTTCAAACGACTTGTCATGACCCATAGGTACAGTGAAAGACAGTTCTGTACAGTTCTGGCTTGATGTAGTCAGCTCTTTGAGCATTTGCAACTACTGAAATCTCGTCCGAATGCCCGTTCTATATTATTTCCGTAATGACAATCTCGTCCAACATCTAATTTCTCCTTCTATAAGGAGCCATATTTTTCTCGAAATCGGCAAATTCTATTCCCAATCTATAGTTCCGCTTTTCGATTAAAAAAAGGGGTATCGCAAAATTATCGTGAACTGTGCCTTTAAAGGCATACGGTAATGCATATGGCCCTCCTACCTGCATAAAATCGAGACAGATCGTTTTGTCGCCCGAGTTTCTCTTCCTCTCCATCCTTTCCCCGGGTACGGATCCCATAAATCTCCTACTTCCAATACAAGCTGTCTACCCCTGAATGATTTGTTTGGGCGATTTACTCAGATGTGAGTAGTAACGGCTCCTTTTCTCCTGGTTACTAGTACATACCACTTAACCAGTTGACAAAATTAGGGTCCTACAAATTGGTTTTTTCAATTTGTTTCATTCACAGATGAACCGACGATCATTTCAAATGCCTTTTTCTACTTGAGTAAGCTTTACATAAGCAGTGCCTTGGAATGTTGCAAACTCTACTCCTACTTCTTCCTCCTTGCTGAAATGATTCTCGGTTGATGCATCTTGAAGTTCTACCAAGTACGATACATACAGTGGATCAATAAAGGAAGTGAGGAGGTTGCTATTTCTCACTTATCAATTTATTTATTTATTTATTTGTTGAGCAGCCCTTCCGGGCGCGCCGATATTGCGGAAAATGTAGGAAGTAGTTTGGCATAAAAAGTTTTCAGTTCTGATATATTGTTTTGAATTGTATTAAGGATGAAAACCGACGTCCTTGGGCGCCGATCAATCCCGTCTTGGAGGTGCGCCTCGCATTCAACTTCTA